CCCGCCTGGGCAGCGAGACCTCATCTCTACAATAAATCAAAAAATCAGCCGGGCATGGTACCACACGCCTGTAGTTCCAGCTACTTGGACGACTGAGGCGGAAGGATCGCCGGAGCCCAGCAGGTCGAGGCTGCGGTGGCCGGGAGCAGCCACTGCACTCCAGTCTGGGCGACAGAGTGAGACTCCAACTCAAAAACAAAAAACCAAAAAAACGTGAAGTTGGAGGTTTCCATCTCACAAAAATAAGAAAATATAAGGCAGGAGTCCCTCCCCTAAGCCTAATAAGATGAGGGCTTTCCCAGGATCCCAGGATAGAGAAGGGGCCCTTTTAGTATAGTACGATAAAAGCCTCCCCAGAATAATGAGAGTCCTAGCACAATAAGGTAACAACTTTCTTGGAAGAGTTATGTTTAGAAAGGAACGTAGCCCCCCATCTGCAGTGTGCATGTGTAGCTCTGCTACAACCTTGAGCTGTGAAACATCCAACTGAGATGCACGTCCCTAACATGTAATCCTTATCGGGGGACAAAGAAGCTAAAACCGTATGCGGGGCAACGCCCCCTGCGCTCGGGCCTCAGCCTTGGGATGTGAATCCGCTGAGCTGGTACTGGCACAGATAAAACTGCTTCCTGGCCTCGGTGTCCCAACTCTAAAAAATCCTGCCACAATTACATAGCGAGAGGTCTTTTAATCCTTGAAAAACAAACGGCATCCTCGTTGGACAGACATGTTCTTGAGGAAAGCCAGCGGCAACAGCCTTTCACTACACCACCAAAGGGAAGGAGCTGGAGCGGCGAGTCACGCTGTGCCCGTCCTAATGCCTGCAGCTCTTCTCACACCAACACCGTCACCAGTGGCAGAAGAAACGGATGGAAAGCCAGATGCACTGGACCGGGCAGGTCACCATGAAGCCACATCCACCAGGCACTTGCAACGTCTGCATTGCATCTCCCCTGCCCCAGCCTCCCCTGTCCTTTTAGACACAGGTACTGTACCTGGCAAGCTGGATCAAGCCCCATTTTTCTCCTGAGAAATTTTTCTACATGCCCAATGGTTGCCTCTCCCGAAACTCGAACAAACTTCTTTTCCAGCGGCTACAAAAACAGAGAGGGGGTAAGGCTATTTTCAGGTTAACTGTATACATGTGTATATTCAATTACATATACATAATACACAAACCTCAAAGCAGACACAATGGCAAAGACGAGTCAATAATTTACTTGTCAAAGAAGAAAAACAGTCTCGGTCTCTCTTTCTCTCTCTCTCTGTCGTTCTCTCCCTCTCTGCAGCTCTCTCCCCACCTCTCTCCCAGTTTCTCTCTCTCTCTTACTCTCTCTTTCTCTCTTTCTTTTTCCCATTACAGATCCCCTCTGTAACAGCCGCTTTAATAAATCTCTTGGTTCTGGTAAAAAAAAAAGAAGAAGAAGAAAAACA